TATGTAGTATCTATAGACAAAAAGTCATTGATATCGGAAAAAAAGGCAACTGATGAGATTCTTTCGTTGATTTATATCTTTTATTTACTTAGAACTATGAAACAACTCTCAAGGTTTTACATAACGCTGATTCATTAGAATGGTAAATTACAATTAAATAGTTTAATGAATATTGTTCTTTTTTTAAATTTTAGTTGTGCATTAACAATTCAAAGTTTATTAAAAATGGATCGACTTGATTTAGCTAAGTATGTTGATTAATTAGTTTAACAACTTTTTAATACTAGTCTTTGAAATTCTTCTGCTTTAGGAAAGAATTAAAACGAATGACAGATATGGATGAAGATTCTGTTTTAACTCAATTATCAACAGCTTGGGTAAACATTGCCATAGTATGTTATGAATTATTTTTTGTTTTTGTTTTTGTTAGTTAATTATTTGTTCAAATTAACTATTTAGGGTTCAGAAAAATTACAAGAAGCTTATTATATATTTCAAGAGTTAGCTGATAAACATACAGTTACACCACTTCTTTTTAATGGACAAGCTGTTTGTTATATAGCACAAGGAAAATATGAAGATGCTCAAACTGCACTTCAAGAAGCACTTGATCGAGTAGAGTTTTCTTTCTTTTTTTTTTCTATATGTTTCATATTTGAATTTCTTTTTTTGTTTTGTAGGATAGCAATGATCCTCAAACATTGATTAATTTAATTGTTCTTTCGCAATTAACAGCTAAACCACCTGAAGTTTCAAATCGTTATATATCTCAAATGAAAGATTCACATGCAAATCATCCATTTGTTAGAGATTTAGCTAATAAAGTATATTTTGAAAATTTACATATAAGAAAAAAAAACATATTAGTTTTGTTGTTTGTTTTAGGCTAATGAACTTGATCGTCTTGTTCGTAATTATCAACCATCTGTATCATCTTAAAAAACACAAAAAAAAAACTCATTTTATTAAGATCAAACAATAAAAAGACACTAGGGTGTTTGCATTCTTTATCTTATATCTTATTTCAATTTGTTTGTTTTTTCTTTTTCTCAAGTAAAATTCATTATCCATCTTATATGTTTTAACTGATTTAAATTAGTCTGTTTCTTTGTCGTCTGAAGATTCTTTTGAATAGTGATTTTTGAAATTCAATCGAAAATTACTCAAGAATAAAAGAAGGATTTCCTTATAATAAAATTACTTGAAACATTTTCTGTAGCAATAAGACATTATTTCTATCAAAATATATCCTTTTTGTAGCAGTATATTCTAGTGCTTAGGTAAACATGGGTGCAAGTATGCACTAATTACATTGACTAGGGAAAATCCTCAGCTGTGAGTCTCCATTTTCAATCGATTTTATGCTAGTTCGTACAGCTTGATGAGTTGATCATGATGGCATAAAACATTCTTCAACTAAGACAGTCTTTCAGGAGTTATGTCGATCTCAATCTCAAAGAGAATATTGATCAGTTTTAGAATATTCCAAGTATGAAGATAGTTATGACTTCTATTTATGTCGATTCTGTGAATTAAGGCGTATTCAATGTTCAACTTTATAATGTTCAGAACTAAACTAACATGAAAATTAAAATTTTCAAAATAACGATTTACAGTCATTTTTCTGATATTGAGATCGATCTCCTTTCTCAAAGACAGTCTATCAGAAAGAACACTTTATGTTTTTAGGAACATCTCATTGAGTTCTATTTACTGGCATAATTTCAATTGGAAATGGAGATTTACATTTGAGGATCTTATCTCTTGAGTTAACGGTCAGTAAACTGAAATGTCACATTCCTAGTTTGCAGTAGATGTTTTGTTCTTGTTTTCTGGTACACCGCATTTACTTGCCAAACACAATTGTATCTTTTTATACACTAGATTAATAATCTTATTTACATGTCAAAATATCAAGCAAAACTTCTTGTAATATTATATATTTATTATGGACTGTGCTCATTAGTCCAATGATAGGTCACTTTCTAATGATATTATTAACAGATAGTATTGAATATTACCTACATTTTTCTTGTGATCTGTACACACGCTTAATCATTAGTATTAATACAACTATCTAGATCAAATCATAAGAAAATTTCATTACATTAGATATGTAGGTGACGTTTTAGATGTGATTAGCAGTTATAAAAATAAGTTTACAAGAGAACTTCTTTAGAGTGTCAATTCACTTTTTGATCGAGACGATATTCATTTGATGAGTATTACTGCGTAATATAAAAGACTAGAATAGTTTAGTTTTCTGGACCTTTGTTCTTAAGATATCAAACTTTATTGGATTTTTCAACAAAAAGCTGTAGTCATATGAAAAACCAACTTTCGAGTTAGAACTTCAAACTTTACAGGCGAGAAGTTCTCAGTGAAATTAATTCAGTGTGCAAGTTGTAACTTTTTTCGTACTTCTTGGTTCTAGATATAGAACAGACATTTCTATGACTTACTAAAGCTCATCAAATGAATATTGTTTTAGATGAAAAACGATTGGACACTTGAAAAGATTTTCTCGTTAGAGTAAGAAGATATTTGAAAGGCAAAAATTCATTTTAGTTCATGGCAAATTATGAAAACAAATTCTACATTGCTTAAATTATTGATATAAATTCGAATATTCTTTTATTAAAATATTTTATTAAATAGAGTTTGATTCTGGTTTATAACAAATGTTGAAAACAATAACTTTTCTGAACATTTGACTTGTTTTTTTTTTCTCATGATTCAATTGTTCGATATCTTAGACAAACAAATAATCTCATTATCTTTGTTATTTGTAGATTAATGGTTATTACAGCAATAGGTTTTGAAGGTAGTGCTAATAAAATTGGTATTGGCATTATTCGTGATGGACAAGTTCTATCAAATCCACGTCGTACTTATATAACACCACCTGGTGAAGGTTTTCGACCAAATTTGACAGCTAAACATCATCAATCAGTTATATTAGATTTAATTGATATAGCATTAAAAGAAGCTAATATTAAATCACTTGCTGATATTGATGTTTTTTGTTTTACAAAAGGTCCTGGTATGGGTGCACCATTAATTGTTGTAGCCACAGTTGTTCGAACATTGGCTCAACTCTATGAAAAACCTATTGTAGGTGTTAATCATTGTATTGGACATATTGAAATGGGTCGTTTAATAACTGGTGCACGAAATCCAGTTGTACTTTATGTTAGTGGTGGTAATACACAAATCATAGCTTATTCGGAACATCGTTATCGTATATTTGGTGAAACAATTGATATAGCTGTTGGTAATTGTCTTGATCGTTTTGCTCGTTTATTAAAATTATCAAATGATCCAAGTCCAGGTTATAATATTGAACAATTAGCTAAAAAAGGTCAAAATTATATACAATTACCATATACAGTTAAAGGTATGGATGTATCATTTTCTGGTATATTAAGTCATGTCAAAACAATTATTGTTGGACATAAACAAGCTCGAAAAAAAGGACATGAAAGAAAACAAACTCAATATTCAAATGAAGATCTTTGTTTTTCATTACAAGAAACATTATTTGCTATGCTTGTTGAAATTACTGAACGTGCATTAGCACATGTTGGCTCAGATCAAGTACTTATTGTTGGTGGAGTTGGATGTAATGTACGTTTACAAGAAATGATGGGTGCTATGTGTGAAGAACGACAAGCAACTGTTTGTGCTATTGATGAACGTTATTGTATTGATAATGGTGCTATGATTGCCCAAGCTGGTTATGAAATGTTTAATGCAGATAAAACTCGAAAGGGCATGACATTAGAAGAAACAAATTGTTCACAACGATTTCGTACCGATGCTCCATACGTTAATTGGAGAGAAGATAAATGAAAAAAAAAAAGACTCTTTTCATGTTTTGATGTTTATATTTTATGATTGAATCCTATGGATTATTAGTTCTGAAACTTTTTAAATACATATTAAATACTACAGATAAAATTCATTTCAAAGTGATAAAAAATTTTCTTGCTTTTGTTGTGTTTTTTTTTTCAGATGAATTACTGTTCAAACTGATAAAGATAAAAGGTATATGACGAGATTAATCAGATTTTTTTTACTAATGTGGAAACATATACAATGGTTAATTACGGATGGAAATAACATTTTGTTCATAAAGTAGAATTTAGGAAGAAGAGGAAAAGCTTGAACGAGTTTCTTCTTACAAACCGTCTTTATGAAGTTATGATTGTTTTACTAAATTTTCGACTCAGCTATAAATACACTAAAAAATCAAAATGCAGAATTTTGATCTGAAATTTTGTTTATAGAAAGATCAACTAATGCGTAGAATATCCAGAAAGAACGTTTTTCTTTGGTAAGATACTGAATCTTCAACTAAATTTCATTTTTTGCATCATGCCTGTAACAAGCGAATAGTTTTTACGAATTTGATATTTGAACACGAAAACACATCTTTTCGTTTGAAAATTTCAAAATGTTCTACTAATGACTGTTCTAGTCGTATCATGATCTCCCTATGAGTCCAATACGGATTTAAACAGCAAATATTATTTTACATGGTTTTCTTGTTAGCAAAAGATTGGTACATATATTTTCGGTATAACGACTATTCACCGTTTCATCGAAAGTATATCAATCGCTGAGAAATCTAGGAAATGAATTAGGAATTTAATTCTCTGTTTCAGTAACATTGATCGTTAAAGTATTCTCTACTAGACATGTATCAAATCCGAACGATTTAGGTATCAAATTGAATATGAACTTAGTGCCTGTTAATTCTTCAGTAAATTGGACAAAACGAAATACATATTACTCGTATGAACCCAATAAATATATTCAATTTTTTATGATCCATTATCATGAGATATATATATATAGTTTAATCAAGTGATCATGAGAGAATTTTAAATTTCATTTTTATTCTTAAAAGTTTTTCGAAGAATTATCATTATAATAAAACTAAATTTATCGTTTATTTTATTATTTTGAATTCTTAGACATATATACAAAATATTAAAATGTCTACAGCAGAACTTCGCTTTGCAAATCAATTTGAAATAATTCGTAGCGAAGAAAAGGATCGTTATATGATAGGTCAATTATCACAACAATTAGATGAACTTTATACAAAATTATTTGGTTTAAATAATTTTCATATTTATCAACCATATATACATCGTTTAAGTGGATTTTTATATTATTTAACAACAACATTATCAAATCGACAAACAATTGGTGAAGAATATGTTTGTTTAATACAATATGATCCTATTAAAAAACAAATACCATCAATAATTCGTCGTTTATTTATGATTTTTTTTCGAATATTTGGTGATTTAATATCAAAATATATTCTTACATCATTAATTATTCGTCCAATAGCTGAAGATTTTTTTCATCCAAAATTATCATTAGAAACAATTGAACGTATTTCTCATTTTTTAATAACATTTATTGAACGAACACATAAAATAGTTTTTTATTTAACTGGTTATTATTATAATATAAGTAAAATTCTAACACGTATTCGATATCTTATTTATACTCGTTCAACATCTGAAAGTATATTAATACAAACAAAATTTAATCAAACAATGAAATTACTTAGTTTATGTCTTTGTATTCAACATATTATTGAATCTTATACATTATTAAAACAAATTGCTTTATCTATAAGTCAACATCGTCATCAATTAAATTTAATAACTGAAGAAGAAAAACAAACGAAAATCATATCTGAAGATATAACATCTTCAACAGATTATGTTCGATGTCCATTATGTTATGAATTAGCTATATCAAATGTTGCACTTGTACCTGAATGTGGTCATGTTTTTTGTTGGCAATGTATACATACATGGGTTGCTGAAAATCAAACATGTCCACTATGTAAAACAAATACTATGCAATCTCGTATTGTTCATTTGATTAATTATTGATTTTTGTTATTATGATTGTTGTTATTGTCATTTTTTTTTTAATTTTTAAAAGAAATTGATTAAATTATAATTTCGTTTTTATTTTGAGAAGAGAAAAAAACATATGAAAAAAAAGAAGTTGATTTCATTTCAATAAATACCAATATTTAGTCGAGTAGGTCTCAATATAAATTCAGTTATAAAAAATGATTGTTTTGTATATTTGGTATATAATGAATGATGGTTAGTCGTTAATATCCATTATCGGTTATGTTCTTCCTGTCTTTGTTATTATAATTCTAAGGACTTTAATGAATACAATGAAAATTATTTTTCTTCTAGACAATGATGTGATGAAAAAAATTAGAAATTCAGAAATTGAATATTCATTGATGATAAATAAAAACTATCGTCTAATATAGCGATAGAATTCGTCCTTTAGTTGCTTTCAAAATCGATACTAATTGTAAAGTATTGAAAAGAACATCTAAAAATCAGTACAATTTTAACCTTCGTTTTAAAGTAAATCAAGTGATCACCATCATCCGATTCAAATTTTCTAAATGTACCGAACTAATGTCCATTTCAAAAAAAAAAAGCGGGTGAGTATTATTTGAATAACTTTTGATAGAATCACTATAGAGAGCTGCAATTTTCACCATTGGAAAGAGGAGATAAAGATACATCGACCTGTACATTACAGAATAATTTGGTCTAGTTTTTTCAAGAACTTAAATCGATGTTTTTGAAAACCATCATATTCCGAAAGGTGACGAAGGCCAATTTTCAATAATTAGATATGCATTCGAACTGCTAAATGAAGATCTACAAAAGTGCACAAGGCCTAGATTTTCAGAGTTACTCATTCAGAAGTTATGGAAATTTTATTCGAAACTCTTCGCCAATTTTTCTATTAATTTCTGTGAACAAAAAAACAATATTTTTTCGTTTTTCTTATTTTAAGAGAAACCAATTTTCCAGAATTATTTCAGAAAATTCATTAAGAAAACATCTTAGAGAAGCCTATAGTAAACCTATAGAGGCGTCTTCATCTCCTATTTCCCACGATGAAAACCGCAGCTCTCTATCTTGCTTCTATTAAAAGTTATTCAAAAAATATTTACTCGTCTGTTTTTTTTTTGAAATGGACAATAGAACCCGATCAGCTTCTATTCATCGAATGATTTTTAAGGTTGAATATTTCTCACTTAAAAATAGCCTATCAACCACCTACTCTAATAATAAAAATCATGAGACACTAAATAATAATATGGTCCGACTATTCAAAAAAAAGAATGTATTACTTATAATTTTAGACTTTTCATAATAATTATATGTTTCTAAAACACATTGTTCATTTTAGTAAAAATTCTATTCATTTCTATTATCAATATCAAACAATGTCAACATTTACATCACGTACAAATATTGTTACAGGAAATAATGAATGGGTTTTTGTTGATAATGATAATTTTGATTATCAACAAGAATTAGCTCGTTCAGCATTTGCTGATATGCTTCATGATCATGAACGTAATATACAATATGAAAAAGCAATTATTAAAACTCTACAAAATCTTGCTAAATCAATGAAAAAAATTCATATACTTGATATTGGTACAGGTACAGGTCTTCTTTCTATGATGGCAGCAAGAATATTAAATCAAATAAACAATACATCTTATTCTTCACGTATAACTGCATGTGAAGTTTTTCAACCGATGGCTAAAATTGCTAAAAAATGTATTGAAAAAAATGGTCTATCCGATCGTATACATGTTATTGATAAACGATCAACTGAACTTGATTTAGAAAATGATTTACAAGGTGATAGAATTAATGTTATTGTTGCTGAAGTATTTGATACAGAATTAATTGGTGAAGGAGCATTACGAACATTTTCTGAAGCATGTAAACATTTAACTATAGATAATGAAAATCTTCGTGTAATACCTGCACGTGCTACAATTTATATTCAATTAGTTGAATCATCATTACTTCAAGAATTTCATACATTAAAAAATATTTCTCAACAAAATCAAAGAATAAATATACCAAATGATTGTCGACATTTAGCTGGAAATACAATTTTTGATTTAAATCTAAATGATTTAAAAGATTCTATTCGTCCATTAACAAAACCGATACCAATATTTCATTTTAATTTTAAATATATTAATGAAATAAATAATTTTACCGAAGAAAAAATTCTTGAAAATATTCAATGTGATTATGATGGAAGAATTGATGCATTTATTATGTGGTGGAATCTTGATATGGATGAACAAGGTGAAATTCAATTAGGTACAATACCTGTATGGTGTTATGATGATCAAGAAAAAGCTAAAAATATTCAATGGAGAGAACATTGGATTCATGGAATTTATTATCCACAAGAACCAAAAAATGTCAAAGCAAAAGAACAGGTATTATTAATGAAAATTAGAAAGTAAACTTTGAACATTCATAGAGAGTATTTGATTTGATCTTCTTACATTGCAATATATATTGTTATGAAGTCAAAAGAAAAAAATTAAAAAAAAAAACACTCAGAAGATCTTGTTCTGTAATGTAACAGCAATGCAAAATTTGGCCAACATTTTTTTTTAACATTGTTTTTGTCACGGTTGGATAGAGCTTGTTAAGTCACCTATAAACATATAGTTTTTGACATATTCGGATAATGTCATGGTATTAAAACCTTGGAAAATTATGTTAAAAAATAGTCATAGAAGGCAATAAAACTTGAAATATATCAAAAGTATCAAGTCTTGACAACAGACGTAGGATAAGTACAGTTACAGCACGTAGAACCAGTTATATTTTAATTTACTTTTTTCAAAAATATACTTGCCCCTATATTGTATATGTACTTTTAAATAAACAACAATAAAAAAAAAAATACTTGATTACCTGTACATCATTACGATAAAAATACCTTGTATTTTTTTCTTGGTGTATTTATGTAGTAAACTTCGTCTTTAAATTTGATTATGTCTGGTAAGTTTTTCAAGATCATTGGGACATCATCTGATCAAAATGCATACAGAAATAATTCTATGCGTCATGTAGTTAGAGAAAACTAGAGAATGCTTTTTTTTGAAAAAAATATTGTTTTATTGTTGAAAACAATCGATTTTTTCGATATGATAGCAAAATATCATAGATATAGGTTAATAATCTAAGATTGCGATCATTAGAACTTCAGCTTCAAAAGAAAATTAATAATATATTCAGAATCAGCAGTAGAATCTGTATCGAATAGTATACTCAATACTCGAAACTTGTTAATTATACCTTTCTCTGTCATTTTTGAGTACTGTGACCAGTGCATTCACTAAGCTCAAAGTTTGACGAAAATTAGTTTTGAGTGTAATATTCAATGTAAATTTTTGCATTGATTCTGAATAAGATATTCGTTTTGTTTTTGAAACTGAAGTTTTGATGATGAAAAGCTTAGAATATCAAACTATATTGATGGAATTTTACTTTCACATCGAAAAAAAATCGATTTTCTCGATAATCAAATAATATTTTTCAAAAAGCATATATAATTGTTCCCAACTGTATATGATGGGTAAAATGAAAACAAACAAAAAAAAAACACCAAAAATTGTTGTTCAAATTTTGCTTTGCCAGCACCTGATATCCATCGGTCAAGTGTATTGTACTGAAGCCTATCATCATCTCTTTGATTGAATACTTCTGAGTTTTTGAGCTTTATTTATCACACATTTATTGTCTATCAAGGCAGGAGATGACTGAAATCTATAGAGTTGCTAAAAATATTGTTCCAGAGAATAGAGCTCAGATATTAAGAGAAATAAAATTGAGTTTTGTATCAAATAAAAATCTATCGAAAACAGAATTTAGAAGTATAAATAATTATTCATAGGAGGATAACGTGTAATAGAATTGCAAAATGTTTCAAAATTTTAATAACAGAACTGGATACTTGTATGAATAGTCACCCATAAAAATTTTACTTCGATAATTAAATAGTGCTGCTAGAGTCAATTACTACAAAATCTGAAATTAATCTGTCGCTGAAGCTATAACATTTTTTAGTATTGAGACTCGATATGATGGAAAAAGAAAAAAAAATTCTGAAAAAAAGGAAAGTTTCGAATAATCTATAGCATTAATAAAAAATATTTCGTAAGTAGAGAAAAAGAATAGAATCATTGAAATACACATTTAGAAAAAATGTTATTCAGTATAAGATGACGTGTGTGAGTGTGAGTCTGCTTTTAATCGCGTCCCTTCAGTTTGTTTTCTAATCTTTTTTGTCACAATAGATATTTTTCCGTCAACTTTTTGACTCTGGCAACATCATCTATTAGTCGAACTTAATTTTTTTTTAACCAAAATGACCAATGCAAATAGCTTTACAAAGTCATACAAACGACTATATTTTCTGATAATTTCTTTGCTGTAAGCCTGACTACTCACTGTATACTCTAGTATGACCCATCGCTGTGTGATATTGCTGTGAATATGTGTTTAATAAATTTTCTTTATATATTAGGTATCTTTATATTGTTTTCATGATGAATATAGTCTTTACTTTGATGTTGGTACATCTCCATTTCCTTCTCGTTCATTTACACCGGCTATTCTTAGTCGTTCAGCTATGGCTGCATTCAATTGTGACAAACGTCGTCATAAATATATTGAATCTTTAAAAAAATCATTTTCTAATTCATCTATAAAACGTTGTTTATATTTTGGTGATGGTCTTCTACTTCCATTACTTATACTTGATATGTATCCAAATATAGAACTAATTATATTACAATCATCAAATATGCATTTAAATCATTGTTTAGAAGCAATACTTTTAAATTCATCAACAAAATTAAATTATCAAATTATTTCATCATTAGATAATGATAAAATAGATTGTCAAACAATTGATATGATTTTATCTGAACCATTTTTTACAAAATCAATATTACCATGGGATAATCTTCATTATTATTATTTTCTACAAAAATATCGTTCATATTTTTGTTCAAATATAAAATTATGTCCACGAAAAGCACGTATACGTTGTTTAGCATTAGAATTTAATAATTTGCATAAAATACGTTCACCAGTTAAACAATGTTGTCAATTTGATTTAACACCATTCGATGAACAAATTATGGAAGCATCATTAAATGTTGATGAAATCATTGAACCTCAATCGCTTTTTGAATATTCATCAAAAAAACCGACACTTTCAAAAATAATTGATCTTATTGAGATTAATTTTGACAAAGATTATAATGATCAAATTGAAAAGAAAAATTTAGAAATTTTATTTATTGAAAATGGTATTTGTAATGGTATTGCATTTTGGATTGATTATGAATTAAATGAAAATATATGGTTAACAACTGGTATTGAAAATGAAAATGATTCTTGGGTAAATTATTCAAAACAAGGTGTTCATCTTTTACCTAAACCAATTCATGTACAATCCGGAATGAAATTACAAATTAGTACAGGTTTTGATTTTAAACAAGGACAATTTCTTTTTGATATTATTTATTAAACAAAAAAAACATGAATATACAAAAAACAGAAAATGCGAAATTCGAGCAAAGTTTTTTTTTCTTAAACATGGTTACATAGAACTCAACGAACTAGTTAAGAATAAGTGTTATATTGAGATTGGTCAATAGTTGTGAATGGTTCACTTTTTTTTTTAAAGTAAACTTTTTCATTATACAATTGATATATTTTTTTTATCGTCCAAAAAAATTTTCCACTTCATGCAGGTTGTAAAATTTATGTATTTAGATTTGCCATGGAAAATTGCGTCTACGAGACTAATTTTAATATTAGTCATACAGACTCAATTTTTCATGGCGAATCTAAGCGTGACAGTTTTACAATTCGCATGAAACGGAAATTTTATTTACAATAAAAAAAGCGTACCATTTGTTTAATGTGAAAACAACGTACTTTTAGGAAAAATTAACCGATCAGATCCATCAAGAAAAAGTCACCTATTCTTACTCAGCTTGTCGAGCTCTATCAAACCATGATTTTAAAAAATCGAAAAAACATTTCTGCATTTTTTTTTGCACTTTATAGATATTCAGATGCCATTGTTATTCCTGAATAAAATAAATTTTTGTAGTTATTTACAAGAAAAAAAATAATATTTTCTTTTCTTTCAATTTATTAAACAAATTGGATTAATGATTCCTTATATAGAAAACTCAATCTAACATCTGGATATTGTCTCATGTCAATTTAAGAAAATATTTCAATTATTTGTTCATGTTTTCACAAATATATAACAAATCTCTACCTTCAAATAGCATACTAAATCTTCCAATTCTTCAAAAAAGACAAATAAAATATGGCCATTGCTTGATTGAAAAGATATTTTTTATAGGAAGTTTTATTTAAACATTAATACAAAATCTAATATCTCTTTCTTTATAACAGTTAGAAAAATTAATATGAAGAATTTCATTTTGAAAATATTACTTTTCTTTGAGAGTCTTAAATTGAATGATAATATAGATATATATGTAAAACCTTTTTTTTGCTTTTCTACAATAAAATAATCATTCATTTGTATTAAACGACACTTTATGTGTTGCATGCATTCATCCGAAGTATACAACATCAATATTCCTAACATTGATTTCCTTTATCACGTTATTACTAAGGTAAATGTTCGTATCCCTCCTGTTGCCTTCTGCTGTTTCTCCCAATGTCTTACATTGACGCGATCGTCAACCATCACTCTATTCGTCAGTTCTTCTCTTTCGCATCTAGCAGCACACATATTCATACACATACATCTATTCATTCTCATACTTTCACACACACACACATACACTCACATCTACCTGAGCCGAGAATACGGACAAACAAAAGAAAAAAGTTGACGCCGTTGCACGCTTTCAGTTAGTCTATCGACCATTGCTTCGGGAGGCATCTGACAGGATGATAATAGTCGTTTGTTTGTTCGTTCGTTACTTATACACTCTCTCTCGTCCATCCGATTCATTCATTCATTCGGTCGTCCATATAGCACAACGAACGGACGAAACACATGTATTGCATTTTAGTATATGTGCACGCGAGTGCATGCTTGTGATTATAGTCTAGCGAACGAAAAGGCATGTTCTTTTGCTTGACGGCATACCTCCTACTATGATGGTGTAGTAGTTTTTGTGCTAGCAGTAGCAATCTGTAAGATGAGCGAACGAACGAAAGAAGAGTAGAAAAGGGCGAGAGCGAATGCATTCAGTCAGCAACTAAGAGTAGCAATCATGACCTTTACATCTTCGAAGAATAGCAAGTGCATATCTTCACATACAAACATAGATTTATACAAAGTAGGCTAGTAAATCATTGCAATATAAATGAGCAGATTTAATTATGATCGAACTTAAATAAATAATTTTACAGTATTTATAGACCATTTTTTTCTACGATGACTTTTTTTTCTGATAAATGCCAAATAAACAAATAGAAAAATAGAAAATTTTATTAAAACATACTAGTAAATACTAAGAAATGAGTAACGACAAAAAAGAAAAGAGAAAAGTGTTGTTTTTTCATCTCTTCATAGCTATAAATAATATGTTATCCACAATAACGAAGACATAGGAATCGAAAGAAAATTAGAAAGAAAAAAAAGAAGAGAACGGTCAAAGTAGAGAAGGTGGCACGATGTGATAGTAGTTATTTTTATTTGTTTTTGTTCGTTGTATTGTCACCATTCGTTCTTTAATGTGTTTGTACATATATATATATGTTCAGTTAGACATACTTGATTGGTTTAGTAGAAAGAGGGACAGGACACAAAACAACTATAGTAATACTCTTCGATTTTCTATTCGTATGTGTTACGTGTCTTCCATTTCTTTTTGGACTCTTTTTTTTTTTTTAATATTATCGTAACAATCAGCATCTGTCTTTCTAATCTTTCAGTCTTGTATATGTCATCCTTGACAGCCATTATGCTTCGGAAATGCAAAAAAAAAATCAACACACCAACTGACCAAGGCCAATCATAAGATTTTTTTCTAAGTTTCTATTAAGTACAAGCCGCAATATGACTAGTGTCGTAGATTTTCATCATCACCATCATCATCATCATCATCATGTGATGTTCGGCGTGAATAGTTCTTTTTGCTCCAACGACGCCTATAACTGATTCGCACATATGTCTATACTTACACACATGCGCAGTGTTCCTTAAATGCAAAAAAAGCAGAACAGGCAAGAAATCAACGACTTTACTTTCCGCCGAAGTAAACTGCAATTTCTGTCAGGCGAGGGTGCAAAAACGCGTTGCGAGCGAACCTTGGTAGACACTAAATATACTCGTTTTATATTACATACGGTGAAGCAAAAAAATAAGAAGACCTGACAAACTGCTAAGGTATGTGTTCTGTTACTTATTTGAAATGAAGAAAAATATACTTATTAATATATATGTAGAGAATACAAACATATTTGTTACTTATCGTCCTTTGAAAAAGCTATCTATTAGATGAGAAAAAAAACCTACACATATATCGCAAGAGCATATAAAAAACCAGTTTTATTGATTTGAAAATAAACTTTCTTATACTTTACTTTGCTGTTTTTTTTTCTTCTATAGTTCTATATATAGAAGAGTGATTCCAACAATATAGCCTTTTCTGCTGCTGCATTCGCCTTGTCGTTTAGTCTGCCTGCACCAGCTCGACGCACACATATACACACATGCGTTTATTCTTTTTCTCCTTCTTCGACCAGGCAGACAGCAGAAGCATACACGCGGCACATACACACATACATAAGCACAATCATCATATCGGAAAAGAGAGAGAGAGAGAGAGAGAGAGAAGGAAGGCAACTGCGTCGACGGTCAACTCTATTTCGCTGTTGTCACTTCACTACATTGTACCTTGTATATTTTAGATTAGATAGACAACTATATATACGTTTCGACAATATGATGATGGACTCGACCGTCGATACAGACGGTACGGCGTTCATTTGTCCTGAATGCAGCTTCAATGGAAAGAGCTTGCCAGAATTAATTAGCCATTTAAATGAGGCACACAGTGAAGGTTTGTTCATTGTTGACTTATTACGCTGTTGTTATCTTTTTTTTTTCGTCACATACAGAAACTGCTAGTAAAAGTGAAGCACCACCAAAAAATGTTTCATCATTACTACAACCTGAAAAGCAACGATCTAGACGTAAGCCAGCTTTTAGTCATCAGGTAATTTTTTTTTCTTCGTCTTCTTTCATTGCAACAGTTTTTTTGTCTAAATAAAAAAAAAAAAATCTAGATTGTTTCTCAAGTGCCTCGACAATCACCAACATTATTCAATCAACAAATACCATTCAATGTTGAATCAGGTTTTTTTTTTCTTATTAACTTATTAGTATGATATGATTTCTTTCTTTATGTTTTTCTTTAATTAGATTCTAATCGATTTTTCAATCGTATTTCTACATCAGATAAAAATGCAACAAGATTTATTTCCACTATTATAGATGATTCATCTATACCTGTGATTAGTGATGAAAATACAAATATCAATGTTATTTCAAAAGATTCACCAAATTTAATTAATATTTCTAAACGAGATCCAAATGTACTTCATTCAATTTTAAGTCAACAACGTCCAATAGCACCTAAAAATGGATCACCAACAGCAACAAAAGGTAAAGAAAGGACAAAAAAAAGAAAGAAAAAAGAATTAAATTTTTCATCGAAACAAATAACAATAAAAAAATTCATTACGTTTTTTTTTCTTAGTCACACCAATCTCGTCACCATCATTATTACCTATAATAAATTCTTCACCAATTACAGATAATTCATTTTATTCACCAACAAATCAATCAATGCTACCATATAAAAAAAATTTTCAATGTAAAATGTGTCGTTTAACGTATAAAGTAATTTTCAATGCGAATAAATTCTGATTGCTTTTTTTAAATTTAAAATTTTCTATAGAATTTTCATGATTGTACAGCTCATATACGTAAAAAACATGAAATAAGTCATGCACAAGCTGGTCGTTTTGTTGATAAACTTGATGCTGATATACCATTACCACCATCAGCAACAGGAAATTATAAATTTCGTGTTAAAGTTAAATCATTACCACCACAACAAACAAATTCAACATCAGGTATTAAACGTACATCATTAACACCAATCATAAATGATGAATCAACAAAAATTTTACAATGTAAATATTGTTCATTTACAAGTAATTGGTCTAAAGAAATCATAAAACATCAACGTACAATACATCCAAATTATCCACCACATATTTTACAAAAAGATTATTTACAACAAGATAATATAATTCATCAACAGGATGATGACGATGATAGTGGTGGTGTTGGTGATGGTGGTATATCAGCACTATTTATTGATCCAGTACGAGCTTTTGGTGAAGTTATTGATAGTATTGATAATAATACCAATGGAAATGATTATGATGATATGGAAAGTCAAGATGAACATTTAATGATAGAACATGATATTGATGATGATGAAGAAGATGCGTCAG